ATAAATCTAAGAACACTAAATCAAGAATGAATTCGAGATTCAGCGAGGTGAATGATTTTCTAGATGCAAGCAGACGTGGACTAGGCACAACAGAAAATACCAAAAAATGACAATAAATAGTGACATTCAATAATATCATAGATGTAAATGGTCATAACGAGCAAGTCTACTTGCTGACTGAATCAATCTATCACTCCAATTCTTCAGAACTACTCGTATTCGGCATCAAACAATCCGACAATGAATGCTCGAAAATCTCACATACCATCAGGACCTGCAGGTGATTTGTTCGCAGACGCCGTGGCTGATGGAAGCGGAGGATATCCGGGAGGGCATGGCAATTCACTGAGGTCAACTGAGCGTTTTGCGCGGACCGCACGAATCGCTTCTTCATACTGCTTCACGATACGAGAATTCATTCTGAATAGAAAACAAATAGGAAGATTTAAAATTTCAAAAAATATTCAACGACGCAACAAAACTTATAATGAGTGCAACGAATTTGCCTTTTTCTTGATTGAAATGCCTTACCAAAAGTCCACCTCAACCAATTCAGATAATAATAACGCTAATAACAAAAGAAAGAAAGAATGATAATCATATCAATGAAAATAAAGCCGATAAAAAAGTAATAAAACAAACACTATTCAAGGAAAATCAACTCAATTCAAAATTTATTTACTCACGCTAAACAGTAATTCAAAAAAAGAACCGGTCCTGGAAGCACATACCAGCTGAATGACTCATCGGACAAACTAAACATTCATTACCTATGCCTGATCATAGATCACACACTCCGCCTAATTCGCTCTACTCGAACCGGTTCTNAATAACGCTAAAAACAAAAGAAAGAAAGAATGATAATCATAACAATGAAAAGAAAACAAGTAAAAAGTAATAAAACAAACACTATTTCAAGAAGAAAATCAGCTCAATCCAAAATTTATTTACTCACACTAAACAGTAGTTCAAAAAAAAAAGAACCGGTCCTGGAAGCACATGCCATCTGAATGACTCATCAGACAAACTAAACATTCATTACCTATGCCTGATCATAGA